AGCAATGCAGCTAGCCTTCAGCCAGCCTGCCCAAGATGGATCCCAGTCATTCTCCTCCTCCTCCTCCCTTCTCTCCAAGTCAAAATATTCCTCTCAAATGGCCCATTAACCCCATTAATACATTTGCTGCTCTTCACAATGCCAGCCAGGCTGGTTTGCATAAACCAGCCCTGGGATTCCCTGTCCGGCACAACTCTGCAGCTTGTAGTTTCATCCATATCCCAATTAATCTAAATCCTACCATTTATTAATTTCTAGGGCTTAGCCCCCGCCCCAAATGATAACAATGCACTGACCCACAAGTTCTTTTCAACTGGTGAAACTATTCAGATGGGCAAGGTCTGCAGAATATTTGGAGGTCTGGGAATTGTGGCTCTGGGGGGAGGGTCTCCTAACAATTCCCAGCATGCTTAAAAAACTACTGTTAGAGTGGTACAAAAGTGCTTTAAATGTGTGGTGTGGACATGAGCCAAGTCTCTGTCAAAATCCCGGCAGTTACAGTTCCCAGGCTGTCTTCAAGGGCAGCCCTACACAAAGACCATTTTAGTAATCTAAAGTAGCAGTAATCAGGGTGGGCATGAAGCTAGGACATGGCCAGGTGTGGGTTTTTTTAGAAAAGGCAACAGCTGAAACACCAGCTGGCACTGAATAAAAGCCCTGCTGCTGCCACTTGGACATCTGGTACCAATGCTGATTTCAGGAGTAACTCCTTCCTTCCCCTCCCCAAACTTGTGAATGTGATCTTTGAGGGGAATGCAATTCAACAGAGAACAGATTGTATATGGGCACCCAGATCAACAGAACCCCAGCCAAGAGCATTTCACTGGCTGGACAGGGGTGGGTGAATCTGTAAATTTCGGCTTCTGTCCATTTCTCATTCTTAAATTCCTCTCTCTAAATTTCTGCATCAGTTTGCAGCAGATGTTTTCTAAAGCCCTCGTGAAAATTTGTCAGCATTTTAGTGCAAATTTCTGCGAACATATCCGTCTTTCTATGCAGTTGGACCCATGTTTGCAAGCAGTTTCTCCCAATACAATGCATTTTTATACGTTGTTTTCATTAATATATGCATTTTATTAATTTTGTTTTCATTAGTTGGCTGGAGAACCACCTCACATTTACAGAAGTGAGAATTTCAAAGGATGGCTTCCCTACAGTTCGCATATTGTTTCAGAAAGTTAGATAGGTTCGCATTAAAATATGAACCGTACCAAATTTCTCCTCTATCCCATTGGTTGGATTACCGGTAAGTTGCAGTTTGTTTGCCCCTATCCACTCCTCCAGCAATAATGCCAAACACTGACTCCCTATCTTCTTCAGCACCTCCCTATGATGTGCTCTATGTGGGGCTTCCCTTGATCCAGAAGTTGCAATTAGTGCAGAATGCTGCAGCGTGATTGCTGACCAGAGAGAGACCTGCCAGCATATGACACGTCTGCTCAGAGACCTGCACTGGTTGCCATTTTGCTACTGGTGGAAATTAAAGGTGTTAGCATATAATGTACGTAGCGGCTTGGGACTAGTTTACTTGCGAGATCTCCTTACCTCATACTATTCCCACCTGGTAGAGAATGAGACTATTAATCTCAGGACTGTGGCTTCGAACATCATGTTGGCATGTTGGTCTCTTCCAACTCTATGATTCTATGATCTGTGGAACTGCCACATAACACTCGGTGAGCGTTTGTAAGGAATCAATCTTTTAGGTTGGCCATAGCCCCACTCTAAAAAACCCTGCCTCTTGACTTAATGCAGCCTCCTTCACGGTACAGTGGTACCTCAGGTCAAGTACTTAATTCGTTCCGGAGGTCTGTACTTAACCTGAAACTGTTCTTAACCTGAAGCACCACTTTAGCTAATGGGGCCTCCTGCTGCTGCTGCACCACCAGAGCACAATTTCTGTTCTCATCCTGAAGCAAAGTTCTTAACCCGAGGTAATATTTCTGGGTTAGTGGAGTCTGTAACCTGAAGCGCCTGTAACCTGAAGCATATGTAACCCGAGGTACCACTGTACTGTTTTTATCGAGTGCTTTTGAATTAGAAAAGCCTATCCAGACATGTAGAATATTGATGAGTTTTTATTTGGTTTCTTAGCTCACTGATGATTTTAAATATGTTTTGAATGTGTTTAATAGTTGCTTTTCACCAATAATTTTATTGTTTCCTTCCTTTGGTAAAGCACCTGGAGGTTTCATGACAATCAAGTGGTATATAAACCTTGTGAATTAAATCAACGGGATCTGAAAATCAAAACAAGAGGGAAGAGCTGAGTGTCAACAAACTGCTAATGTCTCTTCAGCACAAATTATACTTTGCATCCAGAAAGTTCAGCCCTCGACATCTTCAGTAAAAGGGGTCAGGTAGCATATGAAAGACCCTCTGTCTGAGACCCTTGAGAGCTGCTGTGAATCATTATAGTCAATACTGGTTTTGACAGAGAAATACTCTAACCTGCTTTAAGGCAGCTTTCCCCCCATGTCCCTGTATTGAAACTCTGCAGTTCTTGGTGGCTCTGCTTTACAATATTTTTATTTTCTGTTTTACAATTTAAAATACTCATTTTACATCCTTAAGATATCAGTGACTTCCCTTCTCTTTCCATGGTTCATTTTACATATAATCATTACATCCCTCAAAACTTGTTTACACTGTTGTATTTATCTTAATGCTGCCAGCGTTTTCAGCTGTACACAATTATTTCCCATATATTCAATAAATGTTTTGCAATCTTCTTTAAATGTATGCTCTTCTTGTTCTCTTATTCTGTATGTTAAGTCTGCAAGCTGTGCATATTCTGTCAACTTAAGTTGCCATTATTCTTTGGTTGAGACCTCACTCATTTTCGGGCTAACAAAACATGGGCCACAGTAGTAGCCCATAACCTTTTTTGACACCTGGGAATTTCAGTCCCCAACAGAAAGGACTCTGGGGGGTGGGTTTTGGGGTGGGTGGGTACTTTTAAACATTTTTTTCAATTCATTATGGATCATTTCCCAATACTCTTTTACCCTTTTACAAGTCCACCACATATGAAAAAACATGCACATTTAACTACTTAAAACACACCAACATACTTATTTCAACTGAAACGAACAGTGGTCCTTCCAGTTGCTTCTCACTGAAGCACTTGTTGCCAGTTTTCCGTCCATCACAAGTATGGCGCTTCCAACCATATTCATTCATTGATTCATTTGTTTTAGAAAACAGTAACTGCAAAGGTACAGAACAGGGTTGGACTCTCTATCTGCCCCTCAGAACTCTCCCCAGGCCACAGCCCTCACTGGCCCTGACTCACCCCCCCCCAATGTTTTTGCCTGGCTGGAATGTGTCCTTGAACTCTAATAAAGAACATTGCTAAATAAATATATTGTTACAAAAGTCATGCGCTGCCACCACTCTCTGCAAGATTCCTGGGGGTTCCAGGCACTCATCCAGGATGTGTGTTCCTTTGGAGAACTGAGACACAGCAGAGACTGTCGTAGCTTTTAGAAATATGGTTTGTTCACCTACTTACACCTTCAGTCTGCTTGGAGGAGGTCCAGATCTTATGGCATGGTCATTTCAAGAGGGGCTTGCACCCCAAGGCAGTGCAGCCCTGGAGTCCAAGCCATCTCTCCCAGCCAGCCTTCAGCCAACCTGCCCAAGATGGACCCCAGTCTCTCTTCTTCCTTCTTCTTTCCAAAACACCCTGCTAAAAGCTCTCTTTTCCTGTCACCTCACACCCGATAACCCTGGCATCCCACTCTCTGTTCACATCTCTCAGGGCAAGGGGGGGTGAAGACAGTTCCCTGGCATTGCCAATGACCAGGTTGTTTTGCATAAGCTGGCTCAAGAATTCCCCTGTGGTTTGTATTTCTCCCTTCCCACATCCCAAATAATCAAAATCCTACAACTTATTAATTTCTAGGGTTTCAGGGGAAGTCCCCGCACACAAATCCATCACAATATACATGGCGCCAATTGTCTTAATCTTGCTCCCTTCTCGCTGCATCTTCCTAGCAAGGTACCATTTCCCACTAAATTCTGTTCACACGACAAGGCAAACTGAATGGTAACTTCAGCAGAAGTACCTATGGGCTGCTTGGCCAGTGTCTTCCCACTGGAGAGGCAGTGTGGTGTATTGGTGAGAGTGTCAGACTAGGACCTGGGAGACCGGGGTTCAAATCCCCACTCTGCCATGAAGGTCACTGAATGACCTTGAACCAGGTCACAGCCTCTCAGCCTAATCTACCTCACAGGTTATTGTGGGGATTAAATGGAGGTGGGGATAGAACAGTTTAAGCCACCTTGAACTCCTTGTGGGGAGGGAGGGAGGTGAAGTATAAATGCAATAAATGAATACTAATTAATATTCTGTGTCTGTGTAGCCGGATGCCTGCCAATTGCACCCTAACTGGAATCCTCCGAACTTTCCTCTCTTCTGCCCGCCTTGCATGTTTTGGGTGACCCCCTACGGAAGATGCTCCAAATATTTATCCTGACAGCTCCCTTAGCCAGCCTGCAGCATTATTGACTGCATTGCAGGCACCCTCTCCCTCACTTTCACCCACTCGTCATGCTGAGAGATTTTAATTAGATATATCTCGATTCTCTCTCCCCCCCCATCCCCATTTTTGCACAAGTCCTGCTTCTCTCTTCAACCTCATTCCTTATATTCTTCCTTACTTTCAACCACTTGTGGTATATACTTTGGCTGCTCTCTCTCTCCCTCCAAACGGTTGTTTTGCTTATTTAAAAAATAAAACCCCCAATTCTCTGTTCTCCCTGTTCAGGACTTTTGGTCATCCCTTCTTTTTCTTCTGCCCCCCCCCCATTCCCCCCAAAGAGGTTTGGCTTCTCTTTTCTCTCTTACAGCCCTCCTTTTGCTGCCTCCCACCACCCTCCTCTTCCCCACCCAAGCTCCTGTCTTATTTTTCCTGGATTCCTGCCTACCTTGACTCAAACTTTTCATAGGAGGATTCAGTGCCTTTAGCAATCTGCCAGCTATAGCAAGAGGTATCTAAGGAGGGACAGGAGGAGCCTGGAAGTCTCTTTTCACAGCCAGTAGCAGCTCAACGTGGGCTGTTGCTTAAAATCTCTCACCCCCACCCCTTCGCTCTTTTGATTTTTTTTTTCTCCTTCCAAAAAATCAACCTTGCTGCTGCTGCTGCTGCTTTTGCTGCCACTGCATGAAAGGAACCTGACGTACCAATAATTTTGATTTCTTCTTGGGAGGTTAATAAACCAGGGAGGGGGGAAAGATCTATCCACAAAACAAAAGCAGGAAATCTCATCTGGAGGCTGTGAAGGGGATCTACAAGGGATCGCCGGACGCTGTAACCTCTTTCTTAACACACAAGAATCCTTATTGCTCTGTTAGGTGTATGGGACTTAAATTCTTGAAGCACTGAATTTGTTGAAGGTAAGCATATATTCTTCCTTTTTTTGCTGTTAAGTATTTTATTTTTAACCAAGGTGGGATGGGTTGGGTGTTTCCCCCTAGAATCCCGAGGCAGTGGTACCTTTGAATGGCATATGCTTGGAGCATTGAACAGGGTTGAAGGTTTCATGCCATGCTTGTAGAATTCCTGGAGGGCTCCTGCTGACCACATACTTGGCCAAATGAGCTGTCAGTCTGATTCAATGGATTATGTATGTGCAGGAATGCAAGAATATGGGGTGGTTTCGACACCCAACTTCTTGTAAAAAGTTGCACCCCAGAAAAGTTTGCTCATGTCAGAGAAGTGTGTGCATGTGCGATGCCCACTGTTGCCAAGCAACCAAGAAAAAGATCAGACTCTGCCAGCTACTCAGTCTGTTGAAATTTCAAGGAAATAGATCTATAGTCCGAAGAAGGGCATTGCCTAGTTTGCTTGGTAAAACAGTAATAATAACAGACTCTGCTTATAATGAAAGAATAGCCGGTGCACAAGATGTAGCGTAGGGTTAGGGGTCAACCACCCAGCCCTCTCCCCAATAAATTATGCCATCTGAATACTGACGGCACTTTAGTGGAAAATGTATTCTGCAAGCCTCTTGTTTTCCATCAGAAAAAGTTGCTGTCATTGTCCCTCCCTACCCCACCACAGACAAGTATCATCTTATTTTTATTTATACCATGCCACGTTCATACTTACAGCACCTTGTAGAGTTACATGGAATAGCAGCATAGATGGGTCCCTGTCTGCAAGGAGCTTACAATCCACATAAATCAGAATGAGGGGAAAATGAGGAGAGAATGAATGCTGACAAATGTAATCAATGCTTCTGAAATCCATTCATAAAGCAGGATTCAACTATTTGTTTTCGATCGTGAAACAGCAGCATTTGTACATCTCCATCTTTTCAAATCTTCAGCTTGCCTCACGAAATTTGCTTCCGTGGCTTTGGCTAAATTCAGTGAGAACAAATTGTATCCAGTCTATTTTTGCTCTGTGTTAGTTCATTCAGATGTGTTCATTCATAAATCTGTTCTCTCTTGCCTCCTCATCATTCTGTAATTTATTTATTTTTAAATAGCAACACAGAAACAAATCTGCATTTTGTATGCATTTTACTCTAAAAATGCATTTATTGTATATGTTTTATTTCCAAAAAGCACTTTATATACAGCATGATTTTTTTTTGGGGGGGGGGGTTGAGCTGAAAATTGTATAACAAAATTCAGAGAAATGTGAAAAGCAAATGACAACTATATTCTAATATGCCTATTAGTTTAGGAAGTCCACATCAGAACAGTTTGCTTAAAAATGTAGACCAAGTGAAAGCATCAAGCATTTATATATGGAATAGCAGTGCACAATGACTATGGGGTGAATTTACCATAGCTCGGCCTAAATTTAGAATTGGGCTGCAATCCTAACCATATCTACACATGAGGAGGAAATCCTATTGAAATCAATGGGGTTTACTCCCCGTTTAAGTGGGTTTAGGATTACAGGCTCAGTTTATCACATAGGCACTTCTCACTCTTTCTTCCGTGGAGTTGTGAGTGGCGCGCACGGACTCTTTCTAATTTTTCCTCACAACAACTCTTTGAGGTAGGCCAGCCTGAGAGATAGGGATTGGTCCATTGTCATCAAGTGAGTTTTGTGGCTCAGAGCCCATGTCCTCAGCCCACTTCCCAAGCCCACACTGGCTGCCTTGGCCAATCGTGACTCATAAAGCAAAGCACTGATACCAAACAGCAAAATTATAGATTCACTAATAATGTATTTGCAAACCGTTCTGCAAAACTGGAAATTACAGAGCTCACCGCCGTTGAGCAAGATTCAAAAATCGCTATGCTGCAAAACCAAGAATTATCGGATGTTTTTGTACTTTGATGTCACCTCCTGGTATAATCTGTCTGTGACTTCCATTATATGTGAGGGTGATTGTGTAAAGAGGCTGTAATTACCATAGGATTGGGTGGCTGGTGAGCTCAACACTAGTACAAATGATGGATGAATGGCTGCAAGAAAGGAGGGGGGAGTATGTTTGTCCTACATTCTAAAATAAAACTTTTTTAAAAAAATCAATAGGCTTGGGCAGCTAACAGGGATTTGTTGCTGTTGAAATATGGTTTGTTGCAAGGTCTACAGTGACTTGGCATTCTTTTAAAGTCCAGGGATCTGCTTAGAATCTCTAAATACCTGCCTTCCTTTTGAATGAATGCACAGAAAGTGCAATTTTTCCAAGCTGCGGTTTCACGTTGAAAAGAAAGTGTCGTTTCTACATGGAGACTGCTTTTTTTTCTTCTTCTTTCAACCACTTCATTACTCATGGAAGTTTGCATTTTCAACCTGATGCCAAAACCTCACATTTTCCCGCTACCCTATCCAGTTAGAAAGTTTCTTTTCTCTATGGCTCTATTAGTCTTATTTATTTTTCTAAAAAAACTTCTTAGACTTCTTCCAACAGCGGTAACACTCAGAAGGCACATAATCTGTTGTGTTGTTTTTTTAATGGTTAAAGCAAATTGCTCACTTCTACAAGTCAGTCCAAATTGACTGTGTAAATCGTAAAGACGAGCAGGAAAAGTTATAAGGTGCTTTTTAAAAAGCAATCGTTAAATCCACCAGCATTGTCCATTAGTGCTTTGAAACTATTATTGGGAGGGTAACAGCAATTTAGCCAAGTGGTGTTATTTACTAAGAAATTGTATATCACTGGGATGAGGAGGAAGCATAGAGAGATCCTTTATGGTCTTTGGCCCCTGTGCATATAGACTGAATTCCCCCTTCCCACTTTCAGGTTTGTCTTAATAGATAGGAGGCAACTTTGTGGCAGTAGAGGCAGGTCCCACCGCTATCGCAACGTTGTCCCAAAATGCCTGGGAGAAAATGCAATGAAGAACCTTGAGGAACCTGTAAAATGAACCAACACAGTTACCTTTCTAGGAGTATACAATAGCCATGTGTATCTATGGGAGAAAAGTCATAGTCAGTGCTAATAAATATCATTGGGATGCATTTAAGAAGAGAGCCACAGTGGAGCAGTGGTTAGAGTGCCAGACTAGAACCTGGAAGACTAGAGTTCGGATCCCTCCTCAGACATGAAGCTCGCTGGGTGACCTTGGGCCAGTCACTATCTCTCAGCCCAACGTACCTTACAGGATTAAACAGTGGTAGGAGGACCATATACCCTCCTTAACTGAAGACTTAAATTTTGATCTGCTACTTCAGTGACCATAATGCCTTGGGAGGAAGTGGACAGGTTTTGCACCTGCCCTGAAACAGCAATGAAAAAGATACTTACCAGTGTCACTGAGGTAGGATATTGTTTGTTGCGTCCTTACTACACAGGACCAGCATAAGTTGTGAGTCTTTTGACTGGCTCTTCTGAAAGTGGTCCATGAGACCAAAGAAGAAGAAGTCATGTGTCATGTATATAGGGCCTAAACTTTATTTCACAAAGAGATTGGATGAGTACAAAATAAGGACCTAGTTTTTGGCTTTGTTGGGTCACCCAATCCAGCCAATACACAGCATCAGATTCTTAAAGAAAAATGAATAGTTTTTGTTAAATACAAGAACATGTAGACACTGGGGGTGGGGGAGACAGGTAAGTAAAAGAAGGCTTATTCACACCTCCATTTGCCCTGCCATTTCCCCCCAGGAACACTTATGGTATAGCACCGAATCAGAACAAATGGCAGTTTTTCAACAGATTGCTGTTTGTTCTGATTTAGCACTAAAGAGTGTGTTTACTGGGGGAAAGCAGCACAGCAAAGGCAAAACCACTCAGACCTTTGCTTAGAAAGCACAGGAAAAGCAGAAAAGCACCCAGACCTGTGCTTTCTAGGCATGAGACAAGTGGAAGTATGGGAAAGCCCAAAGAAATGGTGGAATAAAATAATAACAATAAACCAGCCTACCAAATTTCACTTTTGCTTCATTGAAGCATCAGGTTCTGGTGAAAACAGTACACTGAAGACTTTGCAATGGCCCTGCCAGATCTCTTCCTACTCCCCTGGCTTGTCTAATTTTCCAAATTTCCAATCTCCTAATTCATACTGGCTCCTCCCACATTTTGCCCTTGCTCGGCCCCCTGATGCAACAATCCTTCAGGCTCTGAAGCTAGACCTTTGCCTTGGCTTTTCTCTTCCTGGATCCACCCACCAGATCCACCCCTTGATCTCCCCTCAAGACCCACCTCCCTCACTGCCCCTGCTTTGCACCCTTCTTGAGTATTTTATGCCTTGGTGAAATGTATCCTTGAACTCTAATAATGCTTCTTGCCTAGGCAGAGGATAGGGACAGGCAGTGCTTTTTTCTGGTGGTACGCAACAATATGCAGTAGTATCATCTGGGGCGGGGAGAGGGAAGGAGGTGGGAGGGTTCTCAGACCCCATTAGAACATGAAGTCTCCTTCCCCAAGCCTGGGAAGTGTTTGCTCAGCTTAGGGGAGGAGGCACGATGCTCTGACAGGATCCTGGAGCCCTGCTGCTGCCTTCCCAAGCCAGGCCGGGAAGGCCTCTTCACCTGGGCAGCAATGGGAGCCAGCATGATGTAGTGGTTAAGAGCGGTGGACTCATAATCTGGTGAACCGGGTTCGCGTTTCCGCTCCTCCACATGCAGCTGCTGGGTGACCTTGGGCTAGTCACACCTCTTTGAAGTCTCTCAGCCCCACTCACCTCACAGAGCGTTTGTTGTGGGGGAGGAAGGGAAAGGAGATTGTTAGCCACTTTGAGACTCCTTAAAGGTAAAGGTAAAGGGACCCCTGACCATTAGGTCCAGTCGTGGCCGACTTTGGGGTTGCGGCACTCATCTTGCTTTATTGGCCGAGGGAGCCAGCATACAGCTTCCGGGTCATGTGGCCAGCGTGACTAAGCCGCTTCTGGTGAACCAGAGCAGCACACAGAAACACTGTTTACCTTCCCGCTGGAGCGGTACCTATTTATCTACTTGCACTTTGATGTGCTTTCGAACTGCTAGGTTG